TGTGCTGTTGAACGCACGTATGCCTCTCACTTTTCTTTAGACATCAACATAGTCTTATATTTTTTTTCTTGCTAATATCTTTCTCACATACGAACTATTACACAAACTAATAACTATCTGATATAAACAGACAACTTGCCTATTATATATATATATATCGACGAGAACAAGTTCTATATCGAAAACAAGGCCGATATCTATCTCCATTGTTTTAGTTTTCCATCAATATACATGTGCGTCTTATCCTGTAGGCGGGTGATGATATGTAAAGATATATATATACTAGTGACGATTTTTCTTTTCCTATATTAGAAACAACAAAATGTAGAAAAATTTATACATGATTATATGGATGGCGACAGTAATTGGATATGATTTTAGTAAAAAAAGAAGTATAACGATGATTTCTACCTGTTGTCAAGGAATTGAAAAAAATAAAAAGACAAAAAAAGCATGAATAACTTAAGCAAATAGATTGACATAGTAACGATGCACAATCTTGATATAAATAAATGCGAAAAGCGGCTAGCATCGATCAACGATCATTGGCATGCAAGCTGCTCAACTTAACAAGGACTCATTTACTTCTTTTCTTCTTTTCATTCCCTCGACATGAGAGATGAAGAGAAACAGAGAGAGAGAGAGAGAGGGAAACAAAACTGCTCACATTCATGTGTCAAATACGCCACTATCCGAATAACAGAAGAGACAGAGAGAGAGAGAGAGAGAGGGGAGCGAGGAAGACAGACAAGAAAAGAACAACGTCGTCGACGCCCCAAGTTCCTCGCCATCGTCGTAACACCATTACACTGTATGCGTGTGTGTGTGTGTGTGTAGGAGAACTGCCATCATTTTTTTTTTGCAGCTTCGCAATTGGTATTTGCGCGTATACTTTTTCTCTCTCTTTCTTTTTCATCGGTAGAATAATGCCAAAATGTTAAAATTACTTGATGTTCGATCATCACAAACACTGATACATAAAAAAAGAAAAAAAAAAGTAGATAGACAAATGACAGATATAAAAGTAGAAAAGAAAACATTAGAAGTGTGCCATTTTTATAATGTTTTCTATGCGTGTTCAAGACTTGATAATATATCGGTTCATTGAACACTATTTTATTTCTTATTTTTCTAGGTTCTTTTTTCTATTTCATTAAACGTTGTTTATACGACAGTCATAACTCTTATATATGTAAAAAAAAAAAAGTGAAAAGAGTTGATATATACAATAGAATGTAAATGATTTATAAATAATGAACGAAATAAATGTCGAACAGAACAAGCAATGAGAACGAATTATATAAACAAGGTTAGACGTCTGACAAGTATCTATAGTAAAGTAAACAGATATTTGATATGCTGACTTTTCTCAATTACCAAAGTGGTATATATGTATACACATATAATTTATTTTTGAAATTACTACTGCTTTTACTAATTTTGTTATGTCAAAGAAAAAAAAAAAAAAATTTTTTTTTTCTTTTTTAATAATTTATCCGCAAAGGAAATTTAATTATATAACCAGCAAATAGCATTGACTGGAACTCACCTGTAAAATAAAATATTAACCTTATTCGAACAGCTGTCAATGATAGTCATTTCAAATATATGTCTATGTTTTTTATCTATTGCTCAGTGCTTATTCGAATAACAAATGCATGTGTAGTGTCGTTTTTTTCTCTCTCTTCCCCTTTCTCTTCTTTTTACTGTCGAACAGATGCCTTCATCGTATCGACATAAATACATACATATTTTTCTTCACGGTTTTAATCATCAACGGTAAATAACAAATATACACGCGAACAAAAAAGAAACGAGAGACATGCAAAGGTAATATATATCTACATATATATATATATATATATATATATATATTTAAAGAAATAGCAACATCCGAAGGTTGTTTTTTTCTTCCTCACCTGTCTATTTCTATCTCTGACCTTTCATAACATACTAACAGAAACATTTATTTCTCTTAGTACCATAGTTTAATTTTGTTTTGTTGACTTGTACAAGTCATGCATCGATGAATGACATGACGGCGGTAAAATCTCGATGCCATTTTTGATGAAACAACTTTTTTTTTCTTCTCTTTCTTTCTTTACTGTCTTCTATTGATGCTGCCAACAACATACACACACGTATAAGTGGCAGCGAGCGCATAAAAAAAATGAGATTCTCTTTTTTCTTTTATTTTATTCTATTACTCTATGTATAGCGCTGCGCCTGCCGCCACTATAAGTCGCTAGTGCAGCTGTTTTTTTTACAGAGAACAACATAACAGAAAGAGAGAGAGAGAGAGCGAAAGGAAAGTATGCTAGTTTCGGTTCTTACGCCATAACAAGCCAAAATCTATAGATTTGTTATTTATTATCGGCTATTAGTTTGTCTATTCTCCTCTATTTTTGTCAACACTGTTTATATGCATACACACATTCCTATTCGTTTATATTTGTCATTGCACCATGTTTCACGAAATGTACACATAAGTGTACAAATAATGATAGTAAAATCATCATGACCGAAAAAAAAGGAAGTACTTGATTTCGATAATATATATGCATGAAAAAAAAAATAGAACTTGCGCATACACTTGTTGTTGAAGAATTCTAGATATTGATCCATAGTGGTAATTTTGTTATACTGTAGCAACAGATGTACAACATGAGGGTGAAGGTCATGAAAGTATTCAATAGTATGAAAAGAGAAAAAAAAAGACTAAAGTAGATGATGATGATGATGAAGCTGCAAAAAAAAAAGAGAAACTAATCTCTCGTTAAATATCAACAATGATGAATAAGTAAGAAAGCCAGAAAACTGACTGAAGAGATTTGAAACCTGATGTCAAAAAAGAAAACGAGAAAGAAAATAATTGACTCATACGATGACAGAAATCCATTTAGAGCAATAATCCATGCATGTGCGTTTATTATTGATTCACTAATGCTGAAGGTTTATTTTGTACAGATCCGATTTCTTTCTATTGTAGCATACATAAATATGTGTTTAGTTTTATTATTCATTCGTTTTTTTTTTACTATTACAATTTGAGTAATGACAAAAAAAAAGAGACTTACTTAAAAATCTAGTCATTGATTATCTATAATCATGTTCAATTTCATTAAAGAGAGAAAAAAAAAGTCAAAGAGAAGATCGATAGTGTTTGCTCGTGTCACTCTTGATAGTTATATATGCTCAACTGAATGGCGAATTCTATTTGTTCTCGTAATGAATTCTGTTTTTTTTTTTTATCAGAACAATATCTCTTTTTCCTTTTCTTTGACTACGACTCTCTTCACTGCCAACATAACTATTACTAACCACCGTAAGAGAATATGATTAAAGTGATACTGCTTCTCTCTCTTTTTCTCTGATGATAGAAACATATTTGCATAAGAGACAGAGCAAAAAAAAAAAATAATAAGTGCACAAGAAAAATTCTTATTGACTCGTGAGAATGCATCAGTATTGTAGAAAAAAAAAAAGGGGGCAAAGAGAATAAAATATTACTGACTAACTTCATTGGTCTTTATACTAGCATTTTTTTTCTTTTGAATCTCTCTCGAGATATCAACAAATAAACATTACCATGGCTCTTGTTCTTTCTTTTTTTCTTCCTATTTCGTTTTATTAAAAGAAAAGAAAAATATGATTTTTCAGAATCAACTTCATATACATTCCTCTAATGCATACAATGGACGTGCCACTATGTAACTAGTACCCTCGATTATCAAACAATTTTTTTTTTCAAATATTAAAATTCACTCAATCAAGTTTTACACCAATAAATAACAATGTTGATCGATGATTCTTGAGTACATATGCATATATTATGAAGTTTTTTTTTTTTTTTTTCACTTTGCTAGTGATGATCGGTATTATTAGTTGAATTCAATCATCAACCATAATTTTGATAAGAAAGAAAAAAAAGAGAATTTTTTTATTCTTATTTCTCTTTCTCATACTCACAGGAGGCATAGACCTATGTGAACAACCTTCATCATGAAATATATCGTGAAAGAGAGAGAAAATAAAACAGACAATCTTTTTAAAAAGCACGTTCGATCTTTCTCTTGTATGCATGCACATATATACGTGATGTATACCATAACACCTTCATATCATTTTTGATGTAGATTTCTAGACCTAGACAAATTTTTCTCTATTTATAATTCTATTAAAATATAATATGAAAGCAAAAAGCAAAAAGTATTCAAGGACACCATTAGTAAAAATAAAATTAATAAAGTTCTGTTTATAAAATAAAATCACATTAAAATGTCGAAGTAAAAAAAAAAAAATATATATATATATGTATAATTTGAAAATATTAATTTGATGTTTTTCTTTCTTTTCCTTGTGATGATTTTTGTTTTTTCTTAGGTTTTGAACTTGCACCATTTAATACTAATGCAAGAATAATTGAAACAATTGGTACTATAAAATACCATGATTTATAAAAATACCAAGCTTTTCGAATTTCCAATAAAATAAATGGTGTTACAATAAAATATAATCCTATTTGGGTACCTAACCATGTTATACATGCATAAATATATTTTGTAGTTTGATTCTTTTGAAAATATGGACGTATTTGTCGTCGAATACCACGACCAGCATAAGTTTGAAATGCTGCTAAGATAAAACTTACATAATATCCAGGGTAGAATCCATGCTGAAAAATAAAAGAAAAGGATTAAAATGATTTTTTAATAATAGAAAAACAAAACAAACAAATCCGATTATATCGTTTCTATTGAAGTAAAATTCAAGATTATTGTAATATTTTTTGTCTAGTTCAAAGCTTAATAGGATAATAGTTTTGTTATTCGAATGTTTGTGTAATAATAGATATCTTTCGTGTGTTTTATTTTTGCATTGTCTATCTATGAAAAATCATGTAAGATTTAGAGTGATAAGAATTAAGAAAAGAAACATTAGACATGCATTTGTTAATCAAGAAAAAAAAAATGTTATATAGAACATTATTATTCATTTGAAGACATAAATAATCATTGTTACAATAAAAACATTAACATGCAAAAATGTTACATTTTTTTACCTTCAACTCTAAGCATCAATTGACATTAATAGCAATATTTGCCATTCAGTTAGTTGAATGTTGCATCGATTCACATATATAAAATCATATTTTTTCTAGATAAGAATTATCGTTTAGACAATTTCCAAAGAGCTTTTAAGTGAGATTGCGCCAGTTGGTTGAGAATTCGTTAACAAGGTTATTTTATGGGCGAAATTAAGATGTACTTTTTTTTCTACATCAATCGATTCCTAATGTGAAACAGGAGTTATAACATTGAACAACATCTTATTTGAAAGAGCACATAAAACTAAATAAAAACGACTCGAATAAGTCAGATCTGTGTATAAAAGAATTTTCTAACAAAACTGTGCTTTTATTAAA